GGTGGTGGTGGTGGAGGTGGTGGTGTGGTGGTGGTGGTGGTAGTGGTGGTTGATGGTGGTGGTGACGACGCGTGTTGGCCTGTCGTGCCGCTGCTGCGTGCGATTGTTTTCTCACCTAGCCTGTCTGCCGGTGCATCGCTCTTTACGAACGAGCCGGCGTCTCGTGTTGTTTACAAATCAACGCGATTACGTTGCTGCACGTCGTGTACACACGGCGTTACTCGCATGCAACAGGCGACACCGCGTTGCCAAAGTTTCCTCTTGATTAATCGATCGGAAAATACAACCGGTCCGAGTGATAATTCTCAGGAATAGGAATTGAACGCGCTGGGTGGAACTGCGTAGACGCGAGCACACGGATATACGAAGAGAACGGAGGAAGAAAGAAAGCGTAGACGAACGCGACGACTACGCATTGGCGTAGAGCCGGCAAGGACGGTCGCGCGTCTAGGGAAAAATCGCTGAAAAGTTTCGGGTGCACGCGCAAGGAATATGAGCCGTGTGTAAATACGCGAAGCTAGCGCGCGGCTTAGAATCAATACGAACGTATTACTTAGGCGACCAGGTTTAACCAGGATCGAGAGAAAGCGAGGCGAGTACTGGCGGAACACGCGCGTGTCGAGCGGCCGAGAAATTTTTCGACCGGCGTGTAGGAAAGGTAGGAGACAAACGGCGCAGGAAAGACGGCTGCCACGGAGCTACGTGTCCCTTGATGGGGTGTGCTTTCGATGTGTTTGGGCGAGGTGTGAGGCAGTCGTTGCTGCCGCGTCGGCTCATGCAGCCGGTCTGCTAAAAATGGCAGCGCCGTTCGATTTTCACGTATGGAATAACAATTATTGGCTACGACCGAGAAAGAAATCCAGTTGACATCCGGGCGCGGGCAGCTTGGTGGGACAGTGAGTACCGAACACGTGGTCCGTGAGGGAGCAGCTAGTCTAGTTTACTACTAGGTGCGTGTGTCGACTAGCTACACCCCTGGCGCACGTGCGTACGTGTATTTCCGCGAGTCGTCGCGAACGGTGCACGTGTGAGTGACAAATCGCGAGTGAAAGTGCTGGAGACTAGTGACTTTTTTTCCTACCGTCACGCGTTTCTCACAGGCTTCCTGTATTTTCCTTCGCGAAAGCTGTCTTGACAGTTGAAACTTGACGTTTCAGAGCGTCCGTGTCGCGACGCTGTCTCGTTCGTCCAGTGTTTACGACGTACGTAGTTTCGCCGTATGGCCAACCACGAGATCGATCAAGTGCGCCCGTATGGTAGACGGAAAATCGATCCTCCTTACCCGTTTCGTAGATTATCGCGACTATTCGCCCGATGCGAATTGAAACGCGTGCATCGAAACCTCGGTAAATAAGAACGCGCGAGTGCTGTGGCGCCACCTGCGCGCTACGTCCCTGGCGAGGGTCGTCTGTTGACTCTGGTGGTGTTTATTCGCGCTTGCCTCTTCTCTCTCTCTTGCACCGGGTCATTTGTGTTTGGACGATCGCGAATTTTTTTGCAATGTGACGGCAAAATGAATGAAGATTAGCGTGATGTCGGACCTGTGCACGCGCCTAACAGTGGGTGCGCGCCTGGATCTCGACTGGAAAGCTGCTGGAACGTCTTGAAACAGGTCGAAAATCAGCGTGAAAATGCCGGCAACGCGACTGTACAGGTGCCCATTGTTATCCCTAACTTTTACGTTTTTCGATGAAACGGTGCGTCGACAGACGACGAATCCGGACTCTTGAAAAGTATCGCGAATCGTGCTACGTACGCTTCAAGTGCCCTCGGCGCGGTGGGACTCGCGAAACGCGTTCTAACCACGTCGTAGGTTAGGTTACCGGCACATAACCTTAAAGCGATTTTCATTAGAACTCAAGTTACTGTACACGAAGCACAATCGAAACGTGTACTTCCTGTGATCTCGTTCCATCGACGACAAAGTGTATTGGCGAAGATTGACTATTCTTTTTTTTATTACCAAGTGCTGATTCCTACATAGTGGGTGATCGGTGCAATGGAATGAGCTGGGTGACCATAGGACAATGAAGGCCAATGGAACAAACAATGGTGATTTTCCTTACTTTCTTAGTCGTTGTACAACTTTCTGGGAAAGTTATTTCATAAATTGCTCTATCCGGTATGTTCTTTCTACAAGCATTGTTCCACCTGAAGTGTTTACATCGTGTTTACGTGTTACTTCTCACACTGCAGCTTCTACGGTGTAACTCGAAGGGCTCATTATGTCTAATATAGATAGAATTTGAACAAAACAGTAAGCTTGATCTGTTTTATCATAAGCAAACGAGTTGAAAACATATAACAGTCGTTGGAACCTCTACGTACCACGTAATAAGCAAAGTATGACAAAAGTTTGACTCGTATTGAAGCGTACGACATTGAAGGTGATAAATTGCACGTCGAATGGAATCAGAGAGCACGAGCACATAGTTATTCGCTGTTTCTGAATCGATTCCTTTGTTTCTTGCAACTGATGTGCCCGTTGGTATAAAAAGTAGACTGTCACCAAAGCATACGTCGTGCAATCTGTCTCATGGTCCCATGTTTACAACTTTTTATCGATTAAGGCAAAACACAATGTAAATAACACGAGGTAACCTTTATATTTTTCAGGCTGTAGCCGCCTAAACACGCCATTGGCAGCCACTACCACACTGGAGGATCCGGGAACGCCAGCCTCTTGGAAGGGCCCGCCGCCCGGCTCGGAGGCATCGCCCTTTACACCCAACTCCGTTGGCCAGGGTGGTGGCCCTGGTTCAGGTCCTTACAACAGTACAGGTGGTCCACCGAGTAATGCGGCCTTCCAAGGCCCAAGTCCGTTTCCCGGTGGCGCTGGTAGTCCAGCGGGGGCGCCTCCTTATCAAGGACCTCCACCTGGTTCCGCGACACCCCAATATACTGCCTCGCCGGCGCCTAGTGGTTCCTCGACACCTGGTCCTGGACCACCGCCGAATTCGTCGGGCTTCCCTCCGCCGCCGAATAATTCCGGGCCTCCGTACAATGGGCCCGGTCCAAGTCCGTTCGGCTCGCCATCTGGCGGGCCGCCGCAGTTCGTCGGTCGACCCGGTTCCTCGGGACCACCGTTTGTACCTCCGGGAGCAGGGAATCCTCACTTCCCTTCGCACGGACAACCGTTTGGCGGACCCCAATACGGACTGCCACCTGGAAGCCCGTTTGGACCCGGTCACCCGATGACAGGGCCTATCGGGCCTGGACATCCCGCGATGATGGGACCTGGCGGACCCGTCGACAGGATAGACCAAGGGTAAGTCTCGACAGTTTCCTATTTTCCCGACGCGTTGCTTATCATTCGAGACACCCGGTCATCTCTCATCTGCTTAGTCTCTCTGGTAAATCGAACCGTGCCTTGTCTTGCATGCACACGGGCTTCTTGTTTGATAAGTAACGCGTCCATCTTATTTAGCGAGTAAGTAATCCTGGCGGTCGTAGCGTACACCCCGTTAGCGAGTTCTCGGTACACCGAGTACGTAGCGCGTTTGATAACGCGTAATACCGATCGTTTGATAAATCTAAAACGGAATACCGATTCCTGCAAGGGAGAACGTTTTACGCGGTAACAGAGGGCCGAATAATCTCGAGGCGAAAAATCAGCTAAATTAATCCATATCCTCGTATTGCACGCACGCGATAGCATCAATGGACTTTCGTGGCTCGGAGTCGCGCGGTTGAAAAGTCGTCACCATTAACGTGTAAAACATAAGAGCACTACGTGTGACACGTTGTCGGGCTGCTAACATTCCTAGATAACGCGGTCCACAGGTAGCCACTGTTATTTATCACTCGTCTCCCGGTTAGTCCGCATTCTTGCTGATAATCCCGCTTCAGCAGGGCTACGTTCTTGCCCTTTGAAAACGGTCTCGATCGTTTGCATCGACGTCAATGCTTCTGTAGTCGGACAACTCGTTTTCGAAATCAGTTACACACGGAGCAGCGAGCCTGGCTGAATGCTTCGATGCGATAAAAGCCACAGATGTTTCAGTATGCGCATAGGGGTCGTCGATGTCGTGTATCAGCGGCAAAGTTATAAATAGCAACGAAACTAGCAACTATTTTCGAGCTGCCCTAGGTGCAACAATCGAATTTTCCGCTAAAGGGGGGCGGTATGTTTGCCCCTTCTCGTGCGAAAATGAGAAACACTGGCTTTCTTAAAACTCGATTCCATCAAATCGAGATCGAAGATAGGTCTTCCTTTTTTTCCCCATTTCTTTTTTTTCTCGGCGCTTGCCAAATTTTCTGCCCGATCGTTGCCAGACATTGCGAAAACATATTGTTGTTAAGTAGCCTTTTTGCAAAGAGAACAAGCCTTGGATCGCGGCTGCAGACGAAACCTGTAATGAACGGCGCCAGTAGCGAGTCACTCGGTGCTAAACTTGGCAGCCGTGTCAGTGATTCACTATCTGCGATCTAGATTATTGATACACTAAAAAGAAAAATACCTGAGCGTTATCGATGCTCTGAAAAGAGTTGGAAAAGAGTTGACGTTTGGAGAGTCGTGTCGTGCGTCGGGGCAGCCGCCGTGTACGCGTACTATAATTTATACAAGGGTGACTGGACCGCGGAGAACTACGTAAACCAGTTTTTCGAATAGTTTTGTAACAGACGTCTCTAAAGGCGTGACTCGATCGGTCGCTAAATCGGGTGAGGGCGCTTGAACGCATTATTCGAATTTCCTTGCGCCGATAACTTTGAAGCCGGAGCGGGGCGGGGGGCACGGGGAAAAAAAGGAAAGAAAGGAAAGAATAAAATGAGAGAAAGAAGGGAAAAAAGGGAGTCACGACTCACGTAATAAGTTCTACGACAAGATCCAGAGATATCGAAGGCGTTCGAAGAAATTTTTAGGCGCGCGTTACACGCGAACCATCGACGTATCTCTCGCTCGGTACCTATGTGCGTGGGCATGCATGAATTCCTCACGCGTGTGTTTACGCGTGTTCGAGTTTACAAGTACCTTAAATCTTTGTAAACCGTCGAATCGGCCGTGTAAATGCGAGAGAAAGCTGGCGTATCGCTAATGGCGGAGTCGCCCGACGCGGTTCGTTGTTTATGAAAATTCGAAGCGATCAAGCTCGTGCTTCCCGAACGTTTCTAAGGGATCGAGCGTGAAGGCTCCGAGAGTTCGGATAATGTATCAATCGTATAAATATCATCGACGTAAACCACTGGTCGTCCAAGTAATTTTTCGCGTTATTTTCCCTCCGACGATGATCGACAAGAAAATCAGTGCCGCTTATGAAGTCAGGCAGCTAGTCGGTAATTGATATCGCATAAAATTTATTACCGTCTATAATCACAGGAGACACACAGTTCCGTTCGGGTTTCATTTAGGACACACGTGAACCGCATAAACAACCGGTCTCGCTTAACGAGGATTTATAAAACGGCAATGATAAGATCGCGGCAGACGCAGGTCTCCTAATATGAATTTTAATTTCTGTCAAGCTTTAATTAACCCCCGCTAACCCTATAATTTTCTCGACGTTGAATAATTGTCTACCTGTCGCAACTTAGTTCGCACTTCTTCCCCCTCCGCTTCATCCCGCTTTCGCGGGAAGCGCGTCCTATGGCGAAGAAATTGCAGCAAGATAAATTAACGACAATGAAGTGGACTTCTGCAGTCTATATCTTTTCTTTTCTTCCCAACCCACCTTTTGTCCCTCGGTTTCTTCCTTTTTCACCTTTTTCCACCGTAATATCTTGCTTCTTTTTTTTCTCCCTCCCCTATCGTGTAGTAACCAGCAGCGCGTATTGTTCGAGGCAGACTCGAAGAATAAAATAACGGTGTTACATTCTTGGCAGGGATTGTACCGCGGGAGGTGACGCCATACTTTTGTAGGAGGTAGTACGCGACCCACCTCCCCTTTTCTCCCTAAACCCTCCTAGCCACCCCGTGTTACGGAGGGCGGGTGAACCAACGAGTGGAGGTAGTGTGGGGGGCATCAGGGTGGTACGAAGGTTCTCATATTTCCTGTATTTTAATTTCTCACCATATCTCACCGGTCTACGCTCTTTTACGAATTATTCCCCGTTTCTCTCCCGTGTCTCTCGATACTCGTCGTTCCTCCGCTATCGTTAGGGTAACTCGCTTTAAGAAGACCGAAGGCACGATTGGCTCGATGCTACTGTCGGATCGATAGAACGTGTCAAGGATGCGTATAAAAATCGAGATACAGCGACGCGTGGAATCCCGAAGGAAACGCTATTTTCCGCCAATTTCCAAAATTTTCTTCCACGATCGAAAAAATAAAAACATCCCATTTAAAAAATGAAAAAAAAAAAAAAAGGAAAAAAGGCAATTCGAATGGTGGAATTCGGTGATTCGAGCTGTTGGAATATCCGGGGGAGGGAAAAAATGGCTGAAAAAATTAATCATCGGTTTTTTTCGCCGCAGCAAAAAGTTTGTTTGAGAACCACTCGAGCTCCCTTCCCCCTCCTGGACTTCCTTGCTCCTCGGGTTTGGGTTGGGAGAGCAAGGGGGATGGGGCCGAGGGAAAGCGGGGCAGCGGCAGAGTAACGGGGGGATAGGGGGCTATAGGTGTAGGTAGAAAAGCGAGGATGGGGTGGCGATCCGTCGGTCTGGGCCCAGCAGCTCGCTCGTGCGTCCGCCACCACCGTTTACACTTTCGCGTGTAAAGGAATCTTGGAACGTCGGGATCTCTGGCGTGCGTTTCGTTACCGTTTGTCTCAGGTCGTGGTCGAGCCGCGGTTCCACGCTGTTACTCCCCGGAACATTTGAGAAAACGAGCAGCAGAAATTCGTATCGCTTTATAGCGGCTGGCCAGCCGCAACGAGGGTTTGTTTATACCGCGTTCTTGCCACGGGGCACATAATTGATCGGTATCCTGTAGGAACTTCGCGTTTCCGGTCTCCACTCTTCTTTTTCTTCTTCTTCTTCTTCTTTTTCTTCTTCTTGTTCTTCTTCTACTTCTTCTACTTCTTCTTTGAGAAACGTGGTCTCTACGAACCCTATCCGTTGGTATCCGTGGTCAGTAGCAGAGCCTCTTTTCCTCGCGCAGGTGTAACGTAACGTAATGCTAATTAGACACAGAGGTTCGTGTCATACGATGGTCGATACCTGTG